GTGTGCGTGCGTGTGTGTGAGTGTGAGTGTGTGTGTGAGTGTGTGTGTGTGTGTGTGTGTGTGTGTAAACATTGAGGAGTGTGTGAAGAATCTTCAGGCTTCTAGAGCCAATCAAGTCCATGAGAACTGGATCCGATCCCAGTCGTTCTGAACGCATGAGCTTCCTCAGACCAGTGTTTGTGTGTCTGTCAGTGTTTGTGAGCACCAGATAAAGTCCCAGTCGTCCTCAAACCTTCCGGAAGACCTCGAAGAGCGACGCCACCGAGTGCATGCGATAGAAGAGGTTCATGGGAATGGCCAGGTTCAGCACCGTGGTCCAGACGCTGTATCCGAAGGTCTCCTGCTCCAGACCGCTGTCATACTGCGGACGGCAGCCGAAGGCCGGGAGAATCCATAGCTGAACGCAGAGAAGAATAAAACCTTCAGCGCTCATGCAATAATTCACCTAAACATGTCAGTTCTGTCATCGTTTGCATGCACTTTCAGACACGTGTGACTTTCTTTCTTTGGTGGAACTCAAAAGGAGAAGATGTTTAGCTGAATGATCGCCTGCACTGCAGAAAGTGTTTCTGTCTTGTTTGTTATGTATTAAATTTAAACTACTTAAAGGGGTCATATGATGCGATTTCAATTGTTCCTTTCTCTTTGGAGTGTTACAAGCTCTTGGTGCATAAAGAAGATCTGTAAAGTTGCAAAGACTAAAGTCTCAAATCCAAAGAGATATTCTTTATAAAAGTTCAGAGTCAGCCACGCCTACCTAAAACGTTTTTTAACCTTAAACCGCATAAACACATTTCATTACACCAAATACACAAAATAATGTTCTTTTTAGCAGCATCATATGACCCCTTTAACAAACTGTAGCTGTAGTGTTTGCCAACACTGCTGCAACCGGCTGCAACACACTCTTTGCACTTCAGTTGATGGCGCTGTAGTGAATAAGGAAGACATCTGAAGTGCTTCCAATTTTAGATGCTAAATATTCAGCAAAATTGTTTATTTTAGTCAGAATTACTAGACTCCCATTGTATTGCTCTTGCATGCTCTGACGTTCAGTGCAGTACAGGTGCTGCTGCGCTGACCGTCTTACAGGACATCTCAGTTCTCTCTGTGCACTGTGAGGAGCGATGAGTGCGGATACACAGCTGAATCGGACCCTGTCCAGTGGTGTGTTTTGGTCCATATTCTGTCAGGATTTAGTGGTTTTAACATTACCAGTAGAGACCCACAGGGACCATTACAGTCTCCATTAAAACCAATACAATTCCCATTATAACCATTCTAATCATTACAAATTCAATCAGGGTTTCTGTGGGGTTTTTTCAGCAGGGTTAGTGCCATCACTGATTTAGTTCACAGAGCTACTGGGACAACACACACACACAAGCAACATAATGAAGAGAATGACAGAGAGTATGACACACACACACACACACACACACAAGCAACATAATGAAGAGAATGACAGAGTTTGACACTCTCACTCACTCACTCACTCACTCACATACACTCACACACACTCTCACACACACACATGCTCACTCTGCTCACTCACTCACACACTCACTCACACACACAGACACACACACACGCTCACTCTGCTCACTCACTCACTCACATACACACACATGCCTCACACACTCACTCACTCACACACTCACACTCACACACACACACACGCTCACGCTCACGCACGTGTCGCTTCTCACCGAGATGTTGCACATGAAGAGGAAGATGGTGATGTTCTTCAGGATCTGCCTCTTCCTCCCAGGTGTCACGTTGAGCTGGTTTCCCACAG